TCTGCCCTTTCCTACACTGCTGGCTGCTAAGCAACTGTGTGACCCATTGAAAGCATGTGATTTAGTCAAACTCAATAGTGTACAATAGTAAAACTACTTCCAGCTGTGCTATATACTGTATGTGTAGCTGGGAACCCTTAACCTTCACAAAAACACCTCACAAAAATAAAGGCCTAGGATTCCTTGCTACGATGAGAAATGACAAAGGTGAAGCCATTTTGGTAAAATTTTCAAAATGTTATGCACAATCTCATGTGTAAGATATTACACTAAAAGTCAATGTTGGGAATAGGGCTGGACGATACGGACAAAACTTTTATCACGATATATTTCTTAATTTCGGTCGATAACGATATAATTCCGATATCGCTATAAACATATTAGTGTATATTTAGTGTATATTGAGTGCTTAGTGTATATTTAGTTGATGTTTTTCTTAGTTCATATCTTAGATGTTATTACTGTTTTTCTTATACATTTTATTGTTGGATGTAACTGGGACCCCGTGTACATAATTTTGCTCCACCACATGTACCACATGAGGTGCGAATGACAATAAAGAAACTCTGACTCTGACTCTGAAACAATATAAAAGCCTCAGAAAAACTGTACAAACTGTACAAATAAATTAATGTTCACCTTTTATTTGTATTTAGCCTTAAAAAGAATGAAATCACCGTCAAATAAACATAAAATTCTCAACTTTGTTAATATTAATAGTTTTAACGTTAAACAACAACATAACCGTTTCTCTTTAGATACATCTGGGGGTGTTGTTTCAGGGACATATTGGCTCAAACTTTTATTGTGCTTCATCTTCTGACTATCAGCATATTCTATTGAGTGGAAGTGTGGAGCAAGTTAGATGTTTTCCCACCGCTAGTTGGATTGACTCTCCGTCACATTTTGCAGCACACTGAAACCTGCAGTTTATCGGATCTTAGATAGCCGAACCACTTCCACACCACCAAATTAGTTTTTCCTCTCTTATCAGTTATGTCATCTGCTTTCTCTTCACTTGAGAAAGCTTGTTCAGTCACATCCTGACGGTCATGGGCACTCACTTTGAAGCGAAAACTTAACTCGCGTTGGCGATTAGCCTAGCCTGCTACGGCTAACGCCTTCTGGACTCAAACTCTGCGTAACATCTACGTCACCACACACTTACGTAGTTGTGTCACAGCTTTTTCTGTTTGGGTTGAAACTTTAAGTGTCCGCTTCAACCCAAACAGAAAAAGAAATGTGTTAGTGAAACGCTGTAATCATATCGAAATATCGAAAATGTGCTGAAAACTCATATTACCGTTATTGAGCAAAAGTATATCGTGATATATCAATATCAAATTATTGCCCAGCCCTAGTTGGGAATGACTCATAGCTTCTATTCCATCAAAATTTAGCTTAATATATGTAAGACTGACTGACTGAATTTTAGACATTTTAATGTTTGCTAATGTGGAATAGATTTGGAGGCCATCTTGAATTGGATTTACTCAAAAGTTAGTCAGTTATAGATGTTTCATTAAAATCTATTGAGTTGTTCAAAATACATTTTGGTAACAGAAACAGGCTTGACCCAACAGTTACTTTTAAAGTTTTAAGCAATGCTTTTATGAAATGAGCAGCACTTAGAATATGTGTTGTGATTGGATCATGAGACACTTTAGCTAACAACCAGACAGTGTTGACTTCAAATACTTAATGGTAAAGTTTTAAATAACAAATATGGTATATTTTGTCAGAATTCAAAGTGTATGTTGTGGATCACTCGCAGGTACTATCACAGTCAATCTTGAGTTAATATCATTAAAACTAAATGTGTTATAGCCATTTCATGTTTGATTTTAGTTCTGTTAGCTGTGGCGTTCATCTTGAACCAGGCTGACTCTAAAAGTTAATTAGTTGTACATGTATATTTGATGATTAATTTCTGCAAATTTCAATAAAATTTGTCCAGTGGTTCAGAACCAGTTTAGTAATACACACACACACACACACACACACACACATACATAGACATCCTCAAATACACACAGACACAGGACAAACAACTAACATTATTACCCATCTTTTGCTTTTCAGCAACTTTCTTTATGGTTTTCAGTCTGATCCACATAAACAGTTTTGATAAATTCAGTACACACATGCTGAATTTACAAATTAATATGATGTCCTTGAAAACGTATTTAATCATTATTAAACTGCAAAAGGGATGAAACAGAGCTCATCTGTATTTCACTGTGTGCTGCTCCAATAAGCAAAATGATTAAATGTGTTTGTTTACAACCCAAAATCCTTACAGTGACAGTGTGACAGACTAATATAACTTCCTAACAAATTGTGAAAGCACTTATCTGGGAGATTAACGTATAACTGTTCCAGATATTTTAATGCAGCGGGAGCTATTTCACCTTGATCCCAGTCAAGGCCGACTTTGATATGAATTTTACTGAGCACTGACATCCGCCTTGAGCATAGCAGTGGTGGTTGGTTGTTGCCGTGCTCGTATAAAAAATATCCAACCTTTAACACTGAACCGCTGCCAAGAGTGAGTTTTGTTTCTTAGTAACTTGATAAAATGCCAATGATTGAATAAATGAAATAAAACACTATCTGAACTTTGTCATTATTTTCCAAGCATTTTCACAATAGCTAAACAAAATCAGCAACTTGAGAACTGAAACTGGAAAGTGCAACGTTGTAAAGGGTTGACTACAAAAAACAACAGCTTTTACTTTGTGTCTTCTAGTTCATATTAAAATTCCAAAGGTTTCCATCTATCTATAAATAGGTATCAGCCATAGGTGTCATCTACAGGTCAGACACACACAAACACAAGCAAAGGAATGTGATTACATAAAAGTAGGCCTACAGTATGTGCAGGAGCATACAAGCCCACACTGAGCCCCTCAAGTTAGCCTCTTTCGTCCCACTCCTCTATCAAATCCGCAGGGGGAAGGAATACCCATGAAATGATTCCTGACATGAGGGATCACGGAGCAGAGCTGGCTGAGCCGTCTGACTTCAACACTTTTCCTGCCTGACTGTGGACATGTAAGACAGCTGGATTTGTAGGGATTTCTTCTGGTTGTGACTCTAGCTGAGTCATCTCTGATTACTGAGGTTAGCCAACTGTACAGGTTATTCTACAAAAACATTCAAATCTCCTTTTTTTTTTTTCTCTCCAACAATTGTGCATTAGAAACTTGCTTTACATCAATCAGTGCTGCAATGTTTTAGGTCCACCTCTTCAGTTGCTTGCTAACACAGAGGTAATTATCCAATCACATGGCAGAAATGCAGTGAATTTAGGCATGTTGACTTGATGAAGACCGTTTCCTGACGTTTAAACCTTTCATCAGAATGGTGGAGAAAGGTGATTTTGAATGTGACATGGTTGTTGATGCCAGAGAATTTCAGAAACTGCTGATCTCCTGGGGCTTTTATTTTTAGGGTTTGCAAAGAGTCATCAGACCAGACAGTGATTTTTTTCCACTCTCTTAATGTCCAGATTTGGTGAGCCTGTGTGACTTGTAGCCTCAGTTTCCTGTTCTTAGCTGACAGGAGTGGCACGTAGTCGTTTGCTGCTGTAAACCATCTACTTCAAGGTTTGACATATAATTCAGCGATGGCATTCTGCATACTCTGATGGTAATGATTGGTTAATTGAGCTACTGGTACCCTACCCTGCCCATTCCCCTCTGACTTAATACATCAACAATGTATTTTTGTCCAAACAACTGCTGCTCACTGGATATTTGTCTTTTTCACACTATTCTCTGTAAATCAAAGAGATGGCTATGCATGATAATTCCTGATAAAGTGGTTTGCAAGTACCGGTAAACATTTACAATGTGTGGCACATCACATCGGGCCAAGGATTAAGTTGCAAGATGGTGTGTTGAGATATAGACAGCTAGGACATTGGATAAAAAAAAATTGTTATGATCGTATTTGGTCAAATTATGATGACTAAACACCTTATCCATGGTCCCTTGAATGAAATGTCTGAAATATTATTCTAAAGAATATTTTGAAGCACTTTTCTGAGCAGTGCTAACAACTAACAATGAGTGGAAAAGTCTGATATTTCAGTTACATTCCCTGCATGTAACTCCTGGTACAGGGGTTGTTACAATAATAGCTATGCATAGAATAGCTATTTTCAATACCAGCTGGGAAATCCTAATATCCAAATATGGTCTGAGGTTTTCTTTCAAATTATGTCAAGAAATCATGATTAGAACATGTTAAAAATAGGATTTAGACTCATTTTAGCAAGACTATTTCTGGAATCACCCATTATATCAGGGTAATTTACGTATTTTAAAAAATGTAGCTTAAAAACTCAGGAATCTGAAAATAGGTTTAGTTAGTTTTGACTAAATTTGACTTAATCTTAATGTAATGGTTCACATATGATCTAAAGTAGACTTAAAATACAGGTTTTAACACAAAATAGTCATTTTTGTATAAAATAGTATTAAAAGTAACAAAGAAACACACCTGCAAACATGTTTTTCAGCTCTAAAATGACCTTCATTGTGTGTGAGTCTAAAGAGTTCAGTAATTAGGAGCCTTTCCAAGATGCTCAAAAACGTCAACCACAAGGGATCAAAGTTTGATATTAATCAAATTTCTCTTACAGTACGTGATTTAATAACATTAAAGAAAATTTGTTCATGCATCAAAACAAAGTGAGAAATGTTCCCATTATAGACAGTGTAGGTGTAAGTGCTCCACATGATCAACAACATTTCACTTTGGTTTTGTCACGCTCTAGAATATAAAAATTAAAAATTGCTAACTGGTAGCTTCTTTATTCAACAACCTAGATAGTGATGACAAAGTGGTTTTTGTAAATAAACCCAAATGTCCCCTCATTTCACTAAATAGGGGACACATGAAAGCAGAGGTAAAATAGAAGCAGGGCAATGAAAGAGAAAAAGTAGAATCATAAAACTTTTTGTTTGTTTCTCTCAGAATGAAAAATACCTTACCTTCAAGGACGACTTCTTTGCCTGTTTTTTTTAGCGCTTGCACAGCCTCATCGTGTGTGGCCTCTCGTAAATCATAACCATTGACAGACAAGATGGCATCACCAACATAAAGTGCTTCAGTCTGATCAGCAGCCAGCCCTTTGAAGATTTTGGAGATGAGGATGGGCATCTTATTTTCCTTTCCTCCTGTATGACAAAAAAAAATAAGAAAAAAATAATTTCAGTCACGTTCTACATAATTACATGGTAGTTGTTGCACTGTGCATTTAGGCATGAGACAGAAATTAATATATATATATATTTTAGTAATCACAAAATCAATCCAAGGTGTATATGTACCAGAAAACGCCAACAAATATATATACCATACCATATGATACCGTACCACTTTATTTATAGAGCACTTAAAACAGCGACAAGGCCAACCAAAGTGCTGTACAGACAAAACAACAGGTAACACACAAAGCAAAATACAAAATGAAGTAAATCAGAATATAGACATAAAAACTATGCAGATAATGACGAAAAACCAGTGTGGAGCATTCAGGATCAAAACACAGATCATCTGGTGTTGAAAGCCACCGAATAGTAGTGGGTTTTTAAACAGGGCTTGAAAACCGAGAGGGAGGGGGCCTGTCTGACAAGCAGAGGTAACTCGTTCCAAAGTCTTTGTCCTGCTACAGAGAAGACCCTGTCACCTCTGCACATAAGACGAGATCCTGGAACTGTGAGGAGCAACTGATCTGCTAACCTCAGGGAACGTGGTGGGACATACGGTTGTAGCAGATCAGAGAGATGGGGGGGGGG